TTTTAAGTGGAGAATAATTTTAGAATTAAAAAGATAATTGGGAGAAATAATAAAATTAACATAGTTATATGTTTTGCCTTTATAGGAATTAAATAGAAAAAGAAATCAAAGATTAAGTGGTTATAAAAATCATAAAAAAAAAGGTTAGATGACTTATTATTGTTTTATTGTGTAAAATATATTTTCTTTTATTTAAAAATATTAATGCATTCAAAAAATAATACATATAACGACACAGATAACTACAATTATATATATATATATATATATATATATATTAAAACAAATATTTCATTTATTTTCAAAGGATTTAAAAACATTCCTATGATTAAAAGATAATGATCGAAAATGAAAGTCTATTAGAAGTCGTCATCTTATGATACTAACTGAGGATGTTATTGTATCTGCATGATAGAAAATGGAAATAAAAAAAGTTATATCTTTATTGGTACAATTTTTTTATGATACTCTTGAGATGACTTCTTAAATATAAAAAGAAACAAAAAATATAATTGATTAAGATAATGAAAATATATATTTGTTATAAAAAGAAAAAAAAATAAAGATTGATCAACATATTCCTTTGGGTATTCATGTTAAGCATTTGCACAATAATTTAATATATAATAAAGTGATAATTATTCACTAATTTATTGTAAACTTAGATTGTTATTAAACTATTTATTCAGAAAAAACACTCCTAACTGATATAATTGATACGGGTGAATTTATTTATAGGAGGAGAGTAACTGTCGGAATAAGCAGTACACTCTCTGGTATTCATGTTTTCCAGCTCTTATTATATTATTATATCAAGTTGGATGAGCTTACGTTTTTTTAGTTAATTGTTATTTATATATAATGCATTAGTGGTTTATTTCTAGTTGGATACTATTATAAACTGTTGTTACTTTTGGTATTGTTTATTTTTACCATCCAACCGTCCATTCTCTCCTTGGTTAACTCCAAGCACCAGCCGAGTCATGTCAAAAGTGTGATGATGAGAGGTTAGCGTGAGAGTGAACAAAGTGAGGCTCATGAAGGAAGAAAGGAAGGGAGAGTGTCGCTTGCAAGGAGGAAGAACTAGCTGTTGTGTCAAGGGCTTGGAGATAAGCAGGCATGCACGTCCAGAGAAAAGGAGAAGAGCGTAGGCGAACCTTAGTCGATCGGTGTAGGTAATCTAGAGATGGAACCAAGCTTTTAAGGTAAGAGTAAGGTTTATTTATTGGAGATTCTTTTTTGAATTAAATTGATTTGCATTTAAGGTATTGGCATGGGATTATATTAATTAACATTAGAAAGCATAGAAGCAAGGATCTTTGGATTAGACTGAGAAGAGTTGGTCAAATCAATAAGGATAGTGTTTATTATTTTATTTCAGAAAATTATTTTAATTGAAAACTTTTGTGTTAAAATTAATATTATAAATCAAAAACAAAGATTGAGAACTTCTGAATCAAAAGATTAGTAGTTTTGAATTGTGAATTTCTGCAAGAGGAAAAAGAAGAAAATAAAAATGAAAGTTAGGGTTTTAATTTTTATGTTAAAAGCAATTATTTTAATTTAAAAGTCATCAAGTATTAATGTTAGATTTCTTTGAAATCAATATTAGAAATTTACAATTTAAGAACAAACAATTTTAAACAATGTTAGTTCTGCTAGAAGAAAGTGAGGTAAATTTTACATGTCTTTTGATTTAGAATATATGTAGATACCTAAAGTAATTTATATTTGGGAAATACTTTAGAACTATGAGAAGAGAATACTTGTAGATTTGAAAAGATGATGAGAAATAATGAAATTGGAAAAATATTATATTTTGCTTTTATAGACACTAAATAGAAGACTAAATCAAAAATTAAGTGGATAAAAGGATCATAAAAAATGATTAGGTAAAGAGTTAGTATTTAAATTGCATTAAATTTTTTTTTTTTTTAAGATATAGGAAAAAAAAACATATAACAACAGACAACATCAATTAGACATATATTAATTTAAAAGAAATGTTTTATTTATTTCACAAAAGTTTACAAACATTACTATGATTAAAAGACTGATTGAAAATAAATGATTGTTCAAGGATTTATATTATTTCACCCTATGAATAATTTAAAAACTTTAATAAACAGAGTCACATCACTGAAATGAAATTTAAATGAAAAGAAAATGATTGAGTCTGAAATGAGTCACTCTCTTATTGCACTAGTCGGGGACGATATTATACTCATGCATGATTAAAAAAAATGAAAATGAAGATGAAAATAAAAAAATATATGTAGATTTATCGATAAAAACTTTTTACAAAGCTCCAGAGATGACTTCTTAAGTGAAAAGGAAATGAAAAATGTAATTGATTAAGAGGATGAAAAAATTGTTAAGATAATTTAATGAATAGTTTGTAAAAAGAAAAAATTTAAAGCTTACTTTATAAATTGATCAGTGTGTTCCTTTGAGCATTCATGTTAAGCAATTGCACAATAATTTAGAGCATAATAAAATAATAACTATTCACTAAAGAGTTACCTTGAGGAGTAGTTGATGTAAACTTCGGTGAACTGGTGGCATATAAGGCTTGAAGTTGAAGTAATGTAGCACTCAATGTTAGTGGATGAAGAGGTGAAGATACAAAATTGTGGTCAACCAAGGCTAAACAACACAAAGGCAAAGATCTTTATTTATTTAATTATTACTTTTTTTGGAGTTTAAGGAGTATAGAAAGTGTTATATTGCTTGATTTAATACCTTGAAACTCCTAATGTCGTTAGAGGAGAGTTTCTAGATTATTTTTTGGAGTTGATAAATGAATTTCAGTAGATTTTGAGGGCTTGAAAATTAAGAAAACTCGAGCCAAATTTGATACTAATCAGGTCGTGAGCTTGTATGCAAGATTTCAGTGAATTTTTACGCAGATTGGCCTACAAATTTGTTATTGAATTGTATTGGAGATATAAAATAATAAGATTAAATAAGAGATAGCAATGGGCTTAAGAAAATACAAATCATACTTCTCACCAAAATAGCATGCAAGCACCAAAAAAACTTTCTAGGGTTGAGGTCAACCACTAAGCATTCCTCCACAGAGTAACACTCCGATGTTTCTTTTTCCAAAGAGATATTAATGTCCTTCATTACATCAGGAATAAGCATTCAAAGCACGTTTACAATAGTGCAAACTTCATTAAAATAGAGGGAGAGGGAGTTAAGGGGCAGGCTAATTGTGTGCAACTGAGTTAGGTAATTAATTTGTAATGCAAATGGGTGGTGGTCGGACATAAAAAGTTGGAAACTGGTTGTTTGGTTAATTTAATTCAAATAACCACTTCTATTTGAATTTAAATAGAATCTCCCCCATACTTGAAAATTTATAGTTCTGATTTTTAAATTCAAATTTTTAAAATTTGCAAATGCCAACAATTGAATATGACAACTACATAGACTTGCACAAAAATCATATAACACCTAAAATACAAATATTAGCTAGATCAACTATAAACTTTCAAATGGCCTTTTTATCCTATGCCTTTGTCTATCAGCACTTCCCTCTTATTCTAGGCTCTTATGTTTAGTACCATTCTCTCTCCTTAAACTCCTTTTACTGCAACAATAATGCAAGGAATTATTTAATATAAGCCAAATTTATCAACCATAGCTAATTTATCCATCTGAATTTGACGAAATATTGTAGTAAATTTGTGAATTCTTGGGTTGTAAATATGTAGGTCTAGAAGAAATAAGCTAGTGATGAATCAAAGAAGAAACTAAATTTACCCATCCAACGAGCATTATTATTACATCTAAATCTACCAATGTTTTAAGGGAGGAAAGGCAGTCAAAAAGAGCTTACCTGGCAATTGAAGGCAATTGAAGCAGACAAAATGCTAGAATAAACATAACTTGAAAAGGAAAATTAGTACTATGTCATCTCAAAGCCCTCAATCAAAGCTCTATGAAAATAGAGGAAGTCATATGCATTTTATAACACATTTTTTCTGTCCTACAGCCATATAAGTTCCAAAAAAGACAAGTAGCAATACCTAAAAAAAGGCTTTTTCTTTACTAAAATGATGCATGATGTGGGAGGGCACATTTAATCAAAACATAAAATAAAAGAGAATTCATTCAAACCATGATTAGTAGGGGTGTGTGTTATTTGATCAAAACAAAAAATCGAACCAAACCAAGCCAAACATATCTGGTTGATTCAATTCAATTTTGAGATAAGGTTCTCAAAATTTTTGAATGGGCTTTGATCTAGATTAAGTCAAATAAAAAATAAAATCTAATAACATTAGGATTGAGAAAATAAATTAATTTGGATTGGTCGGTCCATTACGAACTAGGACGTGCCTCAGTTACCTCGTTAATCTCGCAGCCCATTAGATGAAGAGGGAGCTGGTGAGGAGTTCCAAAAAGAGATCTTCAATCTCTGATTTTAAATCAAAATCTTGATCAATAATGTTGGGCCAAATACAAAATTTCAATTTGCTCAAAACCAAATTGATTAAATTGAATTATATTTTCAATTTGGTTTGCATCAATTATAGTAGAAGTTTGATTGATTTGATATTTTGAATTTAAAATTTTAGTTTCATTCAATTTGACCAATTTATAACTTGGTCTATCAAAATATATCTATTGCACACCACTAATGATTAGTTAAGGGACAACCACTTGGAGTGGTTGTATGGCCTTAAGTTGCCTGTACGCGCCTCATTCTATAGTTTTTTATTTATTTATTTATTTCTTTTAGGCTATTATCTTTCTTAATCAACTAAGATTTTCTCAATGAAGCAACTTTGGTGGATTAATCAAATGGTGCTTGGATAAGGTCCAAATTGCTTGACCAATTTGAAATCTTAACCTAAATTAGCTTAACCCATTGGTTGGGTTAGCCCATATGTATTAAATAAGGATGAAAAACAAAAAAACATGCAGGTTTAACAAACAAAATCTGCAATGAATCCACAATTAAATGGATCAAGATGGTATGAAACAATTACTTGTACCAGATGAAGTCTTCTCATGTTCGGTGTTATTGCTCATCCTTCCCTTTATAAGTTTTAATCTTAAAAACTTTAATCATGTAGTAGAGCCTCTCTTCACCTAAAATTCAGGACCACGGATAAGCATAGCTGAAAAGATTGAAAGTATAAGAACTTCAACCCTAACTCATTAATACATCAAAATAATAAAATAGAATTGAGAAAAAAAAAGAGAGAGGAAAACTTCAGAGTAAATTCATATAAAGTAATTGTACCTATCCATACTGGTTAGCAGGGCTAGCAAAAGTAGCAAATGAAAGAATTAACCTAACTTGCCTGACTTCTAATTGCGATGGACAAAATGTTTTAGAAAATGATGATTTAGTTTTCACTCATTTTGTATGTGAAAATGAAATCATGGCTTTCTAACATTCAATCAAATGATGGAATTAAATAAAATGAACGCTGAAACTTAAAATTTAATTCGCATTACGAACTTAAAAGCAAAAGAGACATCTGCCAAAATGCCTCCTGAAAAGAAACTATGAAACTGTACAAATGTACACAAATAAGCATATAAAGACGACAACCAACCAGCAATAATTCATCGAACACTGAAATCAGTTAATGAAGCAGAAATTTACGGAAATAAAACAAAATAAAGAGCGATCAAGCACAGATCTCCGCAAAATGCCAAACAAATATCCAACAAGGAAGAAGAGAAAAAAAAAATCAGATCAAGGAGGTGTTCCAAATTATTGTGATCATCCTAAAAAAGACAAAACAATTTTAGTTGGGATGAGAAAAGAGTAACAATACCATGAGAAAATAGTCCATTTTTACTTACTATCAAATGCACCAAACTCAAACTGAAAATTTCTTCAGCCGAGCAGCGTCCGCAACTCCGAGCGCAATCTTTTCAAAGAACAAGTTTAATGGATGAAAAGTGCAGATCGAAATAGCTGAGAAGTTATCGCAGGGATTTCACCATTGGAATCTTTAGTATTCCTCGATCAATCAATTCAAACCCTTTCTCTAATTCGTTGAGTTTCCACCCTCCGCCACGTGTCTCGAACCTTCATGCTGAATCTCAGTGGTTTTGTTGACCGAACTAGATTTGGAACTATAATAGGGTTACATTACTCAGTTAAAATTTTTTGGGGAGGTCAATTAAGATTTTGTTTGGGGCAGTTTGTTTGGTGTGTTTGTATTTTAAAAATATAGCTGAGTCATTTGTTTCATGTGTTTGCTCTATTTATCGAAATAAATCATTCAGGTATTTTTAATAAACAAGGTTGCGGGTTTGATCCCGCTACTCGGATTCTTAACCCCACTTATTACCCGCATGTCCTTCGTTCCTCACTCAACCCCCGTCCTGCCCTAGGTGACTTCTCGCTCTTCTCTCTCCCTTGAATGCTCCTATCTCGCGATTAGCGGTGCCTTTCACCTCTTCCTCCTCCCTCCGACCACAAGTTACTATGTTTTGTAAGTAATTTTCGTTGGAATGTCTTTTTATATGCGATTTGTGGTGATTTCTTGATGAAATGATATTTTGTATGTGGTTTTCTGACGGAATAACTTTTTTTATGTGATTTTTCAATTTCTGGTTGTAATATGGAGAATGGATGAAAGTGTGTGCTTCATTTGATGATAGCAAGGTTTCAGATACTGATTTGCAGAGGGTGCCTATTCGTAAATAGCAAGTTTTTGGGTGTCTTGCATGTCATTGCCTCGAATAAAAAATATTGGATGGGATTTCATCAATTTCATCGATGTTTGTGTGACAATATGAAAATTGGATGTAAAAGAGTGTTTTGTTTGTTCATAGCATTCTTTCGGGTGTTTTTTTTGCATTTGTATCTATTCAAGATTGCACTGTTTTTCCTTTTATGCTTCAGATATAAATTGAAAATTGGATAAAAGATACTTCTTCATTTGTAGATGGCAATGTTTCGGGTGGCCTGTATGTAATTATATTGAATTAAAAATGAGGGAAGATGCTTCATTGAGGTGTGGGTTGTGGGCTATGGTTGGGTTTCGTGTGTTGTAGTGGTTGTGGGTGTGTGTGTCGTGGTTGTTGGTGTGTATGTTGTGTGGAGTTGTGGTTGGGTGCTATGTGTTGCGGCTGTGGGTGTGTGAGTGGTTGTGGTTAGATGTTGTGTGTTGTGGTTGTGGGTGTGTGTGTGGTGATTGTGGGTGTGTGTTGTGTTGGGATGTCGTTGGGTACTCTGTGTGTTGTGGTTATGGTTGTGGGGGGTTGTATGTGATGTGGGTTATGGTTGGGTGTTGTGTTTTGTGGTTGTGGGGGTGTGTGTGTGTGTTGTAGGTATTTAATTGCCTCAAATGAAATATAGGAAGGTGATGTGGTTGTGGTTATGGGTGTGTGTGGTTGTGTGTGTTGTGGGTTGTGGTTAGGTGATGTGTTTTGTGGTTGTGGGGTGTGTGTGTGTGTTGTGGGTATTTAATTGCCTCAAATGAAATATAGAAAGGTGTTGTGGTTCTTGTTCATTAAGGTATCTTGTATTAATTGCTTCAAATGAAATATGGGAAAATTCATTGTGGTTCACTGTGGTTGTGGTTGTGTGCATTCAGAAGATTTTTTTGCCCAAAAGGGCCTCTTTAAAATTTCATCTCGTTTAGAGCATTTGTAATATATTTTTTTTTATTTCGAACCTCTTGAGGGTCTTTTGAATTACCTCTTTTGTGGGTATTGGATGGTGTATTTGTTGGGGGTGGGGTTGTGAATGTGGTGGGGGTTGGGTGGTGGTTGTGTTGAGGATTGGTGATGGATGTGTTGGGGGTAGGATAGTGGAAATGTTAGGGGTTGGGTGGTGGTTGTGCCATGGGTTGTGTGGAGGATGTGCTAGGGGTTGGGTGGTGGTTGTGTTGGGGTGGATGATGGTTGTGCTGGGGGTGGTGGTTGTGATGGGTTGGTGGCTAATGTGCATTCTCTGGTTGATCTAAAATAGTAATGTTTTCCCTTTTCTTTGTTAGAAACACAATGGTTAAGATTAAAGAAGTTGGTTCATCAATCATGTGGGATAGGGAAGTCACACTCGTATTTTGTGACATGTGTGTTAATGAGGTTGAGTTAAGAAATATAAATACCACATATTTTAATAAGGAAGAGTGAAAAAATATTATGAAGAAATTTAATAAAATTACAGGAAGGGAGTGCGATAGGTTGCAATTTAAGAACAATTGGGATCAGTTGAAAAATGACTGGAAATTATGGAATGAACTAAAACAGGAATCAACCGGCATGGGTTAGGATATTTTTGATATTATAAGTTCCTGTTTATTTTATGCTCGATGTAGTATTGATATTTTAGATATTTTAAGTTTTATATTGTTTGTAATTATTTTTTCTCCTTTTTTATAGATTTTCATTCTTTTTTGTGTGTGTGTTTGTGAGGTCCATGATGAAACGTTTGACCTTGTGGGTTCTTCTAGATTGTCTGTTAGTCATTGTTGTTTGGTGTCATATGTGAAATCCTGATAAAGGTAATCAGGTTCCTCTTTTCTTTTCGATGCTGGGATTTTTGAAGTACTTCTGAATGACCTATTAGTTATTGCTGGTTGATTTCACAAGTGAACTCCTGATAAAGACAACCAAGTTCTTCTCTTCTTTGCGATGCTGGGGTTTTTGAGGTACTTCTGGATAGCATTTTTTGGTTATATACTTATGTGATACACACGAGCTTGGTATTAAGTGAGCTAAACACAACCAAGAACTCCTATTTTATAAGGTATGTTGTCTTATTATTGTGAAAGGTTCGGGTACTTAGTTTTATGCGACCTCGCGCCCACACAAAACTATAATTGATTAATGCTTTTGTCAATTTATACATGTGTTATGACTAATGGATTGTCGTTTGAATCATTCAGGGAAGATGAGCTTTAGGATTTCAGGGACCTCCCGATGATTGCTATGTCATTGGGGACTTCATACTTCCCTACTGACGTCGCGTCAGACACATAGCTATGGGAAATAATTATACAAGTGTTTGTTGAGGATCACAGAGAATTGTGACTTCTTCCGGTAGGCAGACAGTCTGATAGATTCCACTATAGATAGTGATCGGGAATGGATGGTATCCCTGGAGGATGACGTAGCTCGTAACATACGTTGTTTACCTTTTAAAACTAATATTATCATATTTTTAAATGTAATTTTGTTATTTTTTTTTTATTAAAAATATTGATACTCATTGTTAAGTATGGTGTATATCTTATTTTTTTTATTATTTTGAAGCGATTTTTGCTTCTCAAGTATCAAATAAATTATTATGATGGTTCTATTGCAAACAATATTACTACACGAACATAATGATCATTTATTCAGAAACAACTGCAAAACAGCTATTTTCTAACAGCACAAACCAAACAGTCAACCAGCTTATTTGAATTAGTTGCTGCTCAGCGATTATCTGTGGAAGCTGCTTATTAGCAGCTTATTAATAAGTTGCAGCTGCCCAAAACTGACCCTAAGAAGCTGGGTGATGAAATATTTTTAACTTTTAAAATGAATTTAATTATAATTACTTTAAATGAGACCATTTAAATAATATTTTTTCATTATTTTTATAAGTCACCAAATAACTCACCCTCAAAATAATACTCGAGGCTCAGTTTGAGAACAAGAAAAAAGTATATATAGTCCTAGAGAATGGAGATCAAATCTAGGAGAAAATATTCTGTCCAGACACCGCACGTTCAAACGACCAACCGCCGGTAGCTACGTCGTCATACACGTCATCGACGGGTGATGTGGTCACGGATCGTTGTTTGTCCGGACATGCGAACATCCAAATAGAATAATTTTTTTTTCCAAATCTTGGCGTCTGTTTGGTACATCGTTATTCCCATGAGGTTTTTCTCCATTTCAAAACGTGGGATGTTGAAGCATCAGTCCTGCCATGCCATGTTTTATTATTCCTAAAATAAAAATGTCTAAAATACCAATGTTTTGTTATTCTAAAACTCAAATGATTTACAGATTGATAATCCTAATTTGTCGCTAAGAGATATTACTTTTGGATCCAACAAACAGAACTTCAAATGTGAGGTGGCAAGTAAGGAGCAGAGAATCTTCTCTTGAGAGGGCAAACTAATTAAAAAAAGAGATCACATCTAAGCATTTATCATCTTGTATCAAATCAAAAGCAAGACGAAAAGGACTGGAGCAGTAGAATGCTCTACAACAGATCAAAAGCAAGAAGAAAAGACAATTGAAGCAAAACTCATAGCAATAAAAGCTACCTTTGCTAGCCACCGAAAGCCTCTTAAAAGGATTGGAACAGAAAATCTCAGTCTGAGCTCCACCGAATCGAAGATGAAGTTGGGGAAGTGCCGAAGAGAGTTCTGAACATAATTCACAAATTTGGGAAGACTTTTAGTGTTCAACACATGGATTGAATCCCAAGGTAAATTAATAGGTTGATAACAATAGATGGGTCATAGGGGTTACTATACTAATTTTACCTTAAACATGAGCCTTTGATATTTAAAAGGTAGCATATAATTTATCAACTATAATTTTCTAAAATAGTTTTTAACCTATAGCTTTTAAAAGAGTTTTTCAAAATAAAAAGCTCCCTCAGACAAGGCTTGGTGATATACTGTTTTCAAACTGGAAAACCTATTGATGTTGGAGGTATTATTATGAAATCGGTTTTGGTTTTGATTGTGAATGGATCTGCAACTGGACTGAGACATTCATCAACTATTTTCCTATTTTACAGTCAATCGCAAGTACCTTATGAAAGTTGGGAAAAAGTGCTACTTCCTTGGAAGCCGATGGATCCAGAATTCTACTGTAATTGTATTGGAATGGGAGATGAAAATGATATGAATGTACTGATGGATCAAGGATCTCAGAATTCATCACCTGTTCATCCCTACTACAACTCGAGTGCATTTTCAAAGAGGATAAACAAGATAGAAAAAGATGTGCAGAATCTCATGCACGTGATTGGGAATATTACTGAAATGTTGGATTATCTGAATTAGAGACTGAAGAAACACTTTGAACATACAGGGCGCATTGAATATGGATTGGTACGCATGCTCAAGAAGCATGATTGGATTGAGGAGGAAAATTCAACTGA